AAACGCACAAGTGTTCACATATGCAAATTGAGGTTTTTAAAGCTGCTTATGTGGAAAAAATAGACACACAATGCTATGCACAAATGATGACAACCACTTTATTTTATTGTGTTTATCTTTATTTATAAACCATTTATCTGTTGTTCATTTTTAGGTGAAAGAGTTCTTGAGCACGTTGTGAGCGATCCGAGCCAGCCGATGGGACGGATTATCACTTTTAAAACAATGAAATTCCTCAACAGTCACGGCTCTTTTTACTATTATTTTATGTTTTTAAATCTAATTGCTATTTTCTTATGTTCATTGTATATTTATCAATCTTATTGTGAAAAATGATGATGTTCTATGTGTCCATTGGTATTAACAAAGACAATAAACTTGAAGTGTTTAAAATATATTTGGTTGGTTTGTTTTTATTGCTTCCTGATAACTCAGCCTTAGATATGATGATGTGTCAGTCTTGGCTTTTCCTCCTGCTCTCTCCAAGCCTCCAGAAGATGTCGCCAGTCTCCATACCAGCAGTCAGCTCTGCTATTTTTGACTGCTCAGCTTTGCCTTTACCTGGTAGCTGCAATAGGATTTGGGTAAATCGACCTGAAATAGCTGCTTTAATTTTCTGTTTTAATTCCAGAGATCAGAATATATAACCAGCTGAAATTCCTGGACTTGTTGAGTTGTTGGTGCACTGAAATGACAAGCACCAGTTAATATTTATAAGGTTTTTCTTTTGTGCGTGAAATGAAAATCCAAAATGAATGTTCATAATCTGCTAAATAAATAAATAAATCAAATTTAAAGTGTAATTAAAAAAGAAAAGATACAAGATGATCCAATTATGAAGCTTGTGTTTTATGAGATCAACACCTATCATCTATCAGTACCAAGCATTAAAAGTGATTTGCGCGTTGTTTAATAAACTTGGTGAGCTGTATTTCCCTGAGTGAACAATAGAGAGCCCATTTGTCAAGTTAAGAGTCTGTTGCGCCACCCAGCACTAACTTTCTGACCTCCGCCCCCCGGGTGGCGTCACGCAGGAGGAGGGATGGCACTTTAAATATGGAAAAAGACACGCTGCGCACAGAGCCTCTCCACGCTTCCACCGAGACGCTTTCTCCAAGATGTTTCCGAGACACGACCTGACCGAGTCCAGCCAGATATGAGGATTGTGCGTTGCGCGTCAAGTTTGATTTGTAGAGTCGAAGAGATCATTCCAGCGAGATAGCCGAAGCTCCTCGCCTCCTTGTTTTTCCACGTTTTTTTTTTTTTTACTCACTTTGAAAGCGCGTCAGCTAGAGTAGGGGAAGATTTCCCAAACACCACGCAGCTGAGACAACTTGAAGCTGACGGAGACGGCACCAGCGTGAAAGACGAACCATGAGTTCCGACAAGAGCAAGTAAGTTTGTGTTCGCTCCTCTTCACCTCTTAAACTATAAACTTGGTTATTTTGGAAACTTTGCTTTGAAAATCGCTTTCCTTAGACTTGGGTCCTTTTCCAGCCAGGTGAAAGCAGCAGGTTTGTGTCGCTCACCAGCTCATTTAAACTTGGATACGTTCAAAGTCTCATGTCACTACAGGGTTTTCTGTGCGTAAATCTTGTCGTTTAGTGTCTTATCTGGGGTTATTTGGCCTCTGGTGCCATACCTTTAGTACTTAGATTGTTTATTAGGCTACGAAGCACGTTTGGACAAAAATTCATTCATTCAAGGGACACCCTTGACTGGATAAGCCACTGTTGCAGTCGCGCTGTGGCTACGAATGGACGGTAATCTATTTTCCAAGAACCTGTCACTATCAATTAGAGAGGAAGGGAGCGCAGGCCAAGTGGCTGGAGATGTGGTGCCCGGGGCATCCTTGTGAATAAAGCTGCGTGTAAGTTTCCCAGAACATGTGGTCTATGAGGTGACACCTTCTAATTCCACGTTCAGCGTGGGCCAGTGTGTGCGTCCACGTTGCGCAATGACACGGACGCCAGAGCAAATGAGCCTTCAGGGTTACTATCAAGCACGGAAATTTCCCTTGTGAGCCTGTTTGCACTTTTCCTTCAAGCACATGGAATTCATCAACTGTTTGGTAAATGTCCTCTGCAGCCAGTACAAGACAATAATTAGATATTAGGGGTGGATAGTAGTATCCTATTGGAATATGTGTTTGATGGGAAACAGTCCCTCAGAGTGACAAGGACTGAAACCAAGTGTAACCTGTAGTAGCATGGGTGGGTGCCATGCCCTCACCTGACAGCAGAAAATGCAAAAAAAAAAAAAAAACACAAGCTGATTCCTGGTTCTTGTGTCTTTTGTTTAGATTGTGACACCTGCTTTGCAACAGAGCCTGGAATTTTCTTCCTCCTCGTCTTTTTTATGTCATTCATTTACTTGCACGACTCTTCCTTTAACTGCAGTCTGAAAGGCTTTCTTAGGCTCTGCTTAGTGACGAGCAATTAGATATCTGTTCGTTTCCTTGTTCGTTCCAGTTTCATTGGTGGAAATTCCAAAAGTCAAGGCAAGCCAGACGAGCAGTCATATAACAACAGTTATGCTGTGACATAAAGTAACCTTGTACTAGTCGGGTGTCCTTTTTTTAAAATATATGTATTTCATGAAGGAAGTCATTTTCAAGCTAAAAATCTCTAAACATACTGTAGCCACAACTTATGCAGTGTGGGGATTGCACTTTCCCCCCCTTTTTTTAAAAATGAATTTATGACTATAATTAATCATTGTGAATGAAAGTAAGTGAATTTATAAATGGAGATTTTCCCTCAAAAGTTTACCTCACATCAAAAGTGCAAAGATGTTTTACTACATCAACTTTTCAGCATCAAAATTCATTTGAATCCACTGAATGACAGTTTTACAGCTACTATTCAATCCTTAAGGTTTGGTGGGTTTGATGCTGAATAGAGTATCACGTTAAGGCTCAGGAATCCTGGCTGCGCTGCCTGTAGTGCTGTCTGTGCTGGGGGGCTCCTGCCCTCATGCGGAGGCACCTACCCTCATGTTAAACCTGGCCGGTGGGATTGGCTGCGTCATTCTGTAAAGAGATGGGGATGATCCCTGATCCCGAGCAGCTGATCCCAGCTCCTCACGCACTGACAGGTTTATCCCGCCTCATGAGGTCACCAAGAACTGAAGCTAAGTGAGAAGATTCACTGCTGTGAAGAGTTTTTTTTTTTTTTGCCTCCTTTAATCAGGCAGCGGAAATGAAAAAGAAGATCAAGAAGATTCTTTACATTTTTTTTTTTTTTTTTTTGCTTCCTTTAATCAGGCAGCGGAAATGAAAAAGAAGATCAAGAAGATTCTTTACAATGATGTGCATCTCGAGACATAAGATATTACCTGCCCTGTGCTGTCATACACAAGATATGCATTTTATTTTGCTTTCATCTACTTTAATCTAACTTGAGTAAGTGATTTGTTGGACAAAGCTGAGGAGCAGATTTCTTATCCTCTCTTCACCCACAGTAGTTGCTTCTTCTTTTCACTCCAACATCCCGCTTAACACACCAGTCACATTCTTTCATTTAGCACCAGGAATGCTGAAACTCTTCTCCTGCATCCTGGATGTCTGTGTGCCACCTGTGGTATGTTTCTCATCATTAGGGTCTCCGTGTCTGAGGCCGCAGCGTGGAGTGATTAACATGGCTCCAAGGACTGACTAAAGCCAGCAGTAAACCTGAAACATGAGCTTACTTTGCTCTCCTGTGTGGCCGACGCTTTTCTGAAGGCCCTCTCGCTGTGTTACATGACCTGCCTCCATGCACACACTGCATGCTGCATCACCGGCAGCTGTGGTACCTGCTGCACAGGGGGGTTAGAGCTGAGCCCTTCCTGGTAAGATCTTGAAGCGTATTTCCCACAGGTATAATAATTGTGCAAGAGTAAATTGAAAAGGCCCCACCCATTTTTCCTTTTTTTTTTATTGAGTGTAAGTGTGTCCCTTTTAGATTGCTAGCCGTTTTCTGAGTGAGCTGTGCTACTTCGTCTGGTTAAGGACAAGTTCTTCACAAAAGATAACAGTGTGACATAACCAGTGCCTTGAGGCTAGTGGTATTTTCTGTACGTTCTGTCCTGGAGGGGAAGAAGAAGAAGAAGAAGAAGAAGAGAGTACAAGCAGAACAGGGAAAGAAATCTGGAGCTGACTTCTAGAGTTTACCCTCTCCGTACGGCACATTGTGGGAACTTTCTTTGTATGCAACAATAGGCAACAAAAGCAGGGTACAGAGGCCAGTGACTGTATTTGAAAACTTGGCACCAAACCGAGCCACTCCTCATCACTTGTTTGATCTAGGAGCTGGTGGCTCAACATTACGTTCGCTATCAGCTCTATACCTCTATCATGCTCAAGGCCTGATATCGTATCCACTGGGGAAATTCAGATGAGCTCGCAGTGCAATCGGAGGAACAAGTTGTATCCTTCCTGACTTTGTTTATTTAGCGTTTTTTTTTCTTCTCGTACACTGCTCCCATCCCCTCATTTGTGGAGCGGTGTCATCTTCAGCTGAGGATTGCTCAGTGGCAAATGTTCAAGTGTTTATTGACATTCTTGATATACATCCTGAGTCAAATATTTATTTTTTTTGTTGTTGAGCGAAACTATTATGATAAAGCAGCTGGTCAGATTAGCCGTGGCAAAAGAACTCCTAATGTGAAACTGACACGCTTGTGTAATCTGAGTACAGTTTGAAGGAAGTAATTAACATATTGGCAAAAACTATTTAAATTTAAAATGTGTGTTGGCACAATGGAATTAAATTGTAGCCTCAGGTTTTTTTTTCCTTCCTTTTTATATTGAGAATTAGTGGTATTGTTTTCTATGTATCTGCTTTGGACAAAAATGTATTCTCAAATTGGGATTTGAAACAAGTTGTAAACCGCCTTTCATAGCCTGGATTAGTCCGCACTTTGCTGGACTGGGGGAGCTGCATTCCTTCCAACCTTCGAGGAAGACTGAGATTGCATTAACAGAAACTCCACGTCATGAAACCTATGAAGGTGTCTTATTAAAAATGACCTTTTAATGCATCTTAATCTGATAAAGATTCCGTGCACTTTATTCCTGCACTCACTAAAGAAAAGGACCTTTAAAAAAAACAAACATGTTCATGTGTGCAGCAGCAGTGTAGGTGGATGAGAAGCTGACATTTTGGTCACATGTGGGTGATTTTCATATTGCAGAAATCCACTTTGCAAGGTTAAGTAATGGGTCATGTTTGGAAATCATTCTGCTGACATCTTTGAACAAAATGTCACATTCAGGCCTGAGTATGATGATCGAATTCAAAAATAAACTCATCTTAATATTATTCTCACGATAACACGTGGTTTAGTGAATTGTCCCACTGTTAGAGGTGTGACAGCTGCAGAATAAGAGGGTAGTGGCCCAGCAGTGCTTCGTAG